AGTCAGGAGGGGAGTTACTCGCTGCAGGATTCCCAGCCTCTGATCTGCTCTTGTAGCCGCTGTATTGATATGGGGCTGGGTCCCAGTTCAGTTTCTGCTCAGCAGTATGCACCAAGATGTTGATGGTGGTGGGGGCGGGTGTGGGGTGGGATTCAGTAATGGTAACATCACGGAACGTCAAGGTGGGGGAGGTGGGGTGATGGCAGAGTTGATTTTTACATCCTTCTCCAGAGACTAGCTCCGAATCCGGTCTGACCCGTTTTTTCCCCCCCCACCCACCATGTCCAGAGCTTCCTCTCTCCCCGACGCTAGGAATTAGAGCAGGAAGAGGCCATTCTGCCCTGCCGTTCTAGCAAATCTCGCCCGAGCGAGCTGAACCAGACCATCGTTGCCTGCTCCTCGTTTCCCCGAAGTTTCGAAAACCCTACTCTCCGAACACCGTTTGCATTGATCTAGCCTCCGCCACTCTCTGCGTTGGAGAGTTCCCAATGCTCACAAAAAGCAAAAACCCTCCTCCCTCTCTGTTTTAGAAACGAGCGAAGCCCCCCCCCCCCCCCCCCCCCCCCCCCCCCCCCAAGGGGGAACCATTCCCCTCCCTTGTCAAGATCGCCCCCCCCCCAAGCAACCTATAATATCTCAAATAATTCACCCCTGACTCTTCCGAATTCCAGATCAGACACTCAGATCACTCATCTCCGACTGGCCAGACAGCCTCTCGACCACCTTTATTTCCTCTTAGTCCATCCCCTCGAAATGGCATTCTTGCGGAGGGTCCTGACCCTGGCGAGCTCAGATCTCCACATTCCCGCAGCAGCGAAGGTCTGTCTGCAGCCTGGTCGGCAACGTGGGGCGTCACAGGCTGGCAGCGCACTACTGCCATTTACTGAAGGCAACCCCCCCACCTCTCTCTCTCTCCTCACCCGCCCCCACCCCCCGGATGGGAAGCTGCAAGGTGCAGGGAGGCACAGTCCGAGAGGAAAGGAGAGGCAGGGACTCGAGAGCACTGGCTTACAAAGGGGGGGCATTGCCGGGCAGAATTTATTCAGCAAAAGGTGCGGGTTACAAAACCATCTCTCACAGGCCTGTCAGCTCCTAACAACACACCCTCGAGAGAGAGAGAGGGGCAGAGAGAGGGAGGGAGAGGGGATAGACTGGGTTATTCTGAAGGCCAAGCAGTGAGGCTGATCACACTCTCAGTCACGTGCAAGCTTCCTCCTCCTGATAAACCCATCGAAGTGAACAAGAAGGAAGAGTCTTTTCTTCATCCCCCCCTCCCCACTCCAAACCCCCTGAGGTCAGCCCCTGTCGCATGTCCCCCCCACTCCACCCACCCCGTTCCTGTTAGTGCCTGTTCTGGCTGCTGCCTCTCTCTCTCTGTCACTCCCCCAACCCCACACCTAGCTGGACCCCTGGCTGCCATCTGCAGGGTTTCGGACGATGCGTTTGCCCCCCGCTCGGGTCCTTGCGGGTCCCGGGGGTTTGCGGAAGGCAGGCTGGTATGTGTGCTGCTTTGGGTGGATCTCATCGTAGAGGAACTCTGCTGTTAGCTCTGCACCGTCATCAATCTCAACCTGGTGGGGGGGAAGGAGGAGGGAAGAGAGAGGTGGGGGGGGAGAGAGAGAGAGAGAGAGAGAGAGAGAGAGAGAGAGAG